GAACACGGATGTTATATAGACACGTGTAGCATGATTTCCGGTAGTATGAGAACGGATGTTATATAGACACATATAGCATGATTTCCGTTGTGTGAGAATGGATGTTATGTAGACAAGTGTAGCATGATTTCCGGTAGTGTGAGAACAAGGATGTTATATAGACACATGTAGCATAATTTCCAGTAGTGTGAGAACAAGGATGTTATATAGACACGCATAGCAAAACTTCTGGTAGTATGAGAACGGATGTTATGTAGACACGTATAGCATGATTTCCGGTAGTATGAGTACGGATGTTATATAGACACATATAGCATGATTTCCGGTGGTGTGAGAACGGATGTTATGTAGACACGTGTAGCATGATTTCCGGTGGTGTGAGAATGGATGTTATGTAGACAAGTGTAGCATGATTTCCGGTAGTATGAGAACGGATATTATGTAGACAAGTGTAGCATGATTTCCGGTGGTGTGAGAATGGATGTTATGTAGACAAGTGTAGCATGATTTCCGGTAGTATGAGAACGGATATTATGTAGACAAGTGTAGCATGGTTTCCGGTAGTATGAGAACCCTTATGTAAATGAAATGTATATGTTTCCTTTAAAATAACTGCTAAACTCTCTACAACAGCAAGAGAAATGGCGTGCACTTTCCTCCTGTCTCTAATGTCCTGTAAAAAAGCATTCTTTCAAGGGGCTACCGAAAACGACAGTATTACATTAAATAAATGTTTCACACCATCTTTCCACGAAATACACTTAGAAAAAATAAAAATAAAAACAACGTCATGTTTTAGCTTTTACAGCACGAATAATTGCATATTTTCTTTGATAAATGTTTTATCTATTAAAATGATGATTTTTAAATTGGTAAAATGGATATTTAATTCGCAGCTTATTGAATTGCTTATTTATTGGAAACGACGTTTCGGTACACTTTCGTGGATATTCTAAACTGATTCATATGCTAACCATGACCTTCAAAAAATTTCGAAATTATTTTTTTCCGAACTAGTATGTAAATACCATATCTATAAATATAGGTTAGCTTTCCCTGAACTAATATGTGGATGCCATAAATATATATATATATACATACAAGATTACTAAACTTGTTAATTTAAAAAAGGGGGAAAGGGATCTTGCAGAAACAAGATAAGTAGCTTAAAATGAAAATGTAACCGCATAAAAAGTAAACAAACAAGCTTAAGGTTTGAGATATAGTGTTGACATTATTTCACCAAGCTACAAATCTCTATTTTGACTCCATATCTAAAAGCTGTAATATTTAGGAGAGTCAAAATAAGGATAGCTTGAAGAAATAATGCCAACACTATATATCAAACCTTAAGCTTGTTTGTTTACGTTTTATGCGGTTACATTTTCATTTTAAGCTACTTATCTTGTTTCTGCAAGATCCCTTTCCCCCTTTTTT